TGCTAAAGCCCATCTCCTTTCTGTCCTATCTCCATTTTGTAGATTGCTATGACCCTCCCCCCCACTACTAGTTTAAAATCTCCTCCAACCTTCTAGCCATCCTATCCCCCAGCATTGCAGACCTTCTCCCGTTTAGGTGGAATCCATCACTACTATAAAGTTTGTACCCAATAGCAAAGTCAGCCCAGTGCTATAAAAACCCAAAACCCTCCTTCCTGCACCAAGACTTAAGCCACACACTGACCTCTCTAATCTCCCGCTGCCTTTCCACTGTAGCGCGTGGCACAGGTAATATCTCAGAGAATACCACCTTGGAGGTCCTTTTCTTAAGTTTGCTACCTAATCCCTGAAATCATTCTTTAGGACCTTCCATCTTCCTCTTACTTTGAACTTGGTACCAACATGGACCATGACCACTGGGTCAGCCCCTCCCAATAATCCATCCACTCTGTCAGCAACATGCCGTACCTGAGCACCTGGGAGACAGCAAACTGTCCGGTTGAGCCGATCAGAGTGGAAGAAACATAGAAACATAGAATGTGACGGCAGATAAGAACCATTCGGCCCATCTAGTCTGCCCAATTTTCTAAATACTTTCATTAGTCCCTAGTCTTATCTTATAGTTAGGATAGCCTTATGCCTATCCCACGCATGCTTAAACTCCTTTACTGTGTTAACCTCTACCACTTCAGCTGGAAGGCTATTCCATGCATCCACTACCCTCTCAGTAAAGTAATACTTCCTGATATTATTTTTAAACATTTGTCCCTCTAATTTAAGACTATGTCCTCTTGTTGTGGTAGTTTTTCTTCTTATAAATATAGTCTCCTCCTTTACTGTGTTGATTCCCTTTATATATTTAAATGTTTCTATCATATCCCCCTGTCTCGTCTTTCCTCCAAGCTATACATGTTAAGATCGTTTAACCTTTCCTGGTAAGTTTTATCCAGCAATCCATGAACCAGTTTAGTAGCCCTTCTCTGAACCCTCTCTAAGGTATCAATATCCTTCTGAAGATACGGTCTCCAGTACTGTGTACAATACTCCAAGTGAGGTACTTGGAGTACAGTGTTCTGTACAATGGCATGAGCACTTCCCTCTTTCTACTGCTAATTAGTGATGTCCCGAACGGTTCGCCAAAAGGTTCGTGGTGAACGGTTCGCCGCAGACTCATCATTGAGTAAACTCTGACACTGTACCTCACAGTCAGCAGACACATTCCAGCCAATCAGCAGCAGACCCTCCCTCCCAGACCCTCCCACCTCCTGTACAGCTCACTAAGAATGCAGCTTTACAATTAATGTAAAATGGATGCTGTCCAGGATGTGGGAGGGTCTGGGAGGGAGGGTCTGCTGCTGATTGGCTGGAATGTGTCTGCTGACTGTGAGGTACAGGTTCAAAGTTTACTTAATGATGAGTCTGCGGCGAACCGTTCACCACGAACCTTTCGGCGAACCGTTCGGCGAAACGTTCGGGACATCACTACTGCTAATACCTCTCCCTATACAACCAAGCATTCTGCTAGCATTTCCTGATGCTCTATTACATTGTCTGCCTACCTTTAAGTCATCAGAAATAATCACCCCTAAATCCCTTTCCTCATATGTTGAGGTTAGGACTCTATCAAATATTCTGTACTCTGCCCTTGGGTTTTTACGTCCAAGATGCATTATCTTGCACTTATCCACATTAAATGTCAGTTGCCACAATTCTGACCATTTTTCTAGTTTACCTAAGTCATTTGCCATTTGGCTTATCCCTCCTGGAACATCAACCCTGTTACATATCTTAGTATCATCAGCAAAAAAACATACCTTACCATCAAGACCTTCTGCAATATCACTAATAAAAATATTAAAGAGAATGGGTCCAAGTACAGATCCCTGAGGTACCCCACTGGTGACAAGTCCAAGTTTTGAATATATTCCATTGACTAAAACCCTCTGTTGCCTGTCACTCAGCCACTGCCTTATCCATTCAATAATATTGGAATCCAAACCTAAAGATTGCAGTTTATTGATAAGCGTTCTATGTGCAACAGTGTCAAAAGCCTTACTTAAATCTAGGTAAGCAATGTCTACTGCACCACCCTGATCTATAATTTTAGTTACCCAATCAAAAAAAATCAATAAGATTAGTTTGGCATGATCACCCTGAAGTAAACCCATGTTGTCCTATCATGAAGATTGCCCTATCTGCTCTCCTAATGATAGAGTCCCCTACCACCACAACCTGTCTTGCCTTCCTTACATTTTGATCCCCACCCGTACTAGGGGGGCTGTTACCTCGGCTGTTAGAAGTAACAGCTTCCTCTAATACAGCTACCTGTCTGTGTACATGTACTAGTGTGTGTATGTGCTAGTGTGTGCATCTGAGTGTCTTTGCCAGCATATGTATATGTATATGTGTTTTTGTGTGTGTATCTATCAATGTGTATATCTATGTATGTGTGTATGTATGTGCCAGTGTGGGTATCTGAGTGTGTGTGTATGTGCCAGTGTGGGTATTTGTGTGTATGTGCCAGTATGAGTATCAGAGTGTGTGTGTGCCTGCCAGTGTGGGTATATGTGTGTGTGCCTGCCAGTGTGGGTATCTGTGTGTGTGTGTGTGTGTGTGTGTGTATCTATCTGTTTGTTTGCCAGTGTGGGTATATGTGTGTATGTGTATGTGTGTGTATGTGCCAGTGTGAGTATCAGAGTGTATGGTTATCAGAGTGTATGTGCTAGAGTCGGTAAATGTGTGTGTGTGCCAGTGTGGGTATCTGTGTGTGTATTTGTGTGTGTGTGCAGGTGTGGATATCAGAGTGTGTGTGTGTGTGCGCGCGCGCTAGATTGGATATCTGTGTGTGTGCCAGTGTGGGTATGTGTGGGGGTATCTGTGAATGGGTATATGTATGGGTATCTGTGTGCGTGTGTGTTTGTGACAGTGTAGGTATCTGAGTGTCTGTCTGTGTTTTTGTGTTTGTGAATGTATGTGCCAGTGTGGGTATCTGAGTGTATATTTGTGTGTCAAGGTGTGTGTAAATAGTTGTAATATGCTGTGTGTAATTGGTTGGGGGAGCTGCGTGTGGGGTCCACATGGAGGGTGCAGCTACCTCCCTGAAATGAGTTTTGGCATGTTGGGATGTCTGCTGACAGATTCATTGAGTATGCAGAAATGTATAATTACGGTTCTCTTTTTAATGTTCGAAAACAAAGAAGTTAGCAATGGTATGATCCTAACAAATTAGAAATTGATATACCAGAAAATACCTTGCATTTTCTTACTTTGATAAAAAGTATTAACAGCTGCTTTCAAATGTGTGTGAAATGTATCTAAATAAATATATTATAACAAAAGTCCTTGCACTCTGGCCAGGTGCACACTGCCAGGTGCACACTCTGGCTTAATATCCAGAATGTCAGGTAAACTCAGCTGCACTCATGGTCTCTCATAAAAAAACTTCTTTATTGGGTCAGTTTAAAACGATCAACATTTCAGTCTATAAACTAGACTTTCTTCAGGATCAGCATAACTAAAACATTGTACCACAAGGAAATATATACATACATCAATAAGTGTAAATAAGACTCACCCAGGTGTTGTGCATGTTTGGTCCAGTCCCCCACACGGAAACAGCACGTCAACCTGGTTACACTTGTATACAAGCGTTGCTAGGTCAACCCGCGTGAAGCGATCACGCATTGACGCTATTGTGTCATTATTGGGGGCCGAGCACGCACACGCATCCGCCCGGGGACTGGCGGGACGCCACTGAACATGCACAACACCTGGATGAGTCTTATTTACACTTATTGATGTATGTATATATTTCCTTGTGGTACAATGTTTTAGTTATGTTGATCCTGAAGAAAGTATATATATATATATATATATATATATATATATATATACTGATTAATTTTGAAAGCTGGGTGAAGTGCATCTCCCGATACTAAGAAGTTATTACTGAGCAGTGTTTACCTGGGTTGATTAAAAGGCATGTAACATTAGATGACAGAGACTGTACGTCAAATTGACATGGCTAGCCAAGTGTGAGGACAAACCAGTCTGGATTTGAAAACAACCAGCATGTCATCTATGTTTACTAGTTTTATGGTACATGTGCTTGAACTGAGAGTACATGCACCATAGAAATAAATATAAAACATTAAATTTGTTTACTACTGATAATCTTGTTCATTGACTGTTGAATTATAATCTTTTTATAGTACCCTTAGAATGGATCAGAGCCGTGAGCATAATAAAGACTGCTATTGGTACTAAATAAGATTTATCACACATTAGTAGCAGAGGCTCTCAATGCTCTTGTTTATTTACTTATTTATTTTACACTTTTTATATAGCCTCTTATCTAGAGTTCTTTACCAAAAGGAACATAAGAGGGGTTATAGACAGAGGAATATGTAATTAGACACATTGAAGCAAATAGAATGAACAACCCTGTCTGTGGGATTCAACATAATACCTTATGGTTTGGTTCTATTTAACCTGTCCAGAAAAAGCTTTTTTTTTTTTTGTAGGTTTTGATTTTTTTTCATGGACATTAGCGTGGTACGTGCAGGTACCTGTATTGGTGCATATGTAATACTTCCATGCTTGCAGGCACTGTCCATTTTACCGATACGTTAATTCGGTACACGAAGGTACCTGTTTTGAGAGTAAGTATTAAACTGGGATGCACAGATCCCCTGGAATAGATAAAGGTAGTTACAAGCAGAATTTAGAAACAAACAAAATATGCCTGTGTCACTATGTAGAGTCCCAAATGGTGCTTAGATAGAGGGTCAAGTCTCCATGCTACATTGATCCAGGGAGAGCACACCTGCCCCTATAGTTTCCAAGAGCAGGTGTGCTTCCTCCAGGATGTGACTTTGTATCCTGTTTGCATCTCCAGCAATGGTCAGTTACTGAAGGGTCGATTGGGTTTAGTAGTTGAGGTGTCTTGTACCAATAGGCTAACAGCTTATATGCTGTTTTGAGTGTCAGATTGCAGATTTTGGACTATTGTGTGGGTGTGACTGTTAGCTCTAGGGCGGCCGCCCATTTCCCCATGAAGCCTGGGCAGTCTTCTACGTTGCATGAGGAATTGCTAAAGGAAAGAAAGGCTTCTCTCTATGGGCTCGCATTCCATGCATAGCACTTATAAGGTCTCGCGACACTAAGTGTGTTTGTGGTATTGAGGTGACAAACTGTGCTAACTGTCTATAGCGAAACTGATGCAAAAGGTTTAGCGTGGTAGGGCTTGGCAGGTCATTCATGGGTTTGACCTTCACGTGTCGCATGTCTGAGTTGGGGGAGATTGTTTCCTAGTAATCTTTGAAGCACTCACGCCTCTAACCTGGGGGAAGGCCGGGCTGTGTACTACTGGGTATAGTGGAGATGGGAAGGCTGTGAGCTCAAGTTTGGATGCAAGAAGGTGCCACATGTGCATTGTGGCTTTTATGAGTGGATGTGGGGCCATAATTCTCAAGCAGAGGAGTGGGTCTAGCCATGGGAGCACCTCTACCGGTCTTTCCACTAGTGCTGTCTCTACAGATTTCCAGAGTTTAGATACTCCTTGTTTCATCCATTCTATTACTCATGGACATGGGTCGACAGGTAATATTGTTTAAAATCTAGCAAGGCAGGTTCACCATCCACCTTCGGGTGTGTGAGGGTGTCGTGACCTATCTGGGCTTTGCTTTTGCACCAGATAAATTTTAGGACCAGGGAGCAAAGGAAAGTGAAGAAGGCTTCAGGGATGGTGATGGGTAGTGGAATATCAGAGGCACATGGTGAGAATAATGGTATGAAGCACATGGTGAGAACAATGGATGGTGGCCATTTTAACTCACAGACACTGTTTGGACTTTTCTACACGGTGCCATCTCGCCAGTATTTGGTGCACGAAGACATCATTCCGTAGTTTTAAACTATACAACAGGGGACACATTATACAGTAATTATTTTTCATATAGCCTGTATATGTTCTGCAGAATCTGCATTAAACTGCATCTTCCAAACTACTGAATGGATCTGGGTGAATTTTGGATATGTGGTTCACCCAGATCCCCCGGTTCCGAGGATATACTTATACTTTATGGGGTTATTGCATGTTTTGGGGTCCCTGTGATATGTTTTATAATACTGTATTTCTCTGCCTGTGATAATTAGATTAACCATTGTGTTCAGTAATCATATCACAGGCAGAGGGGAGGATTTTGTGTGAGTGTCTGTGTGTAATGTACGTGTGTTATTGGTTGTTCTGTAAAACCCTGTGGGCAGTACTAAGTTTGTGGATTGGGAATAAAAAGGCCGTATGTGCCAGTACACTCAGTTCTGCTTGACTCTCAAAACTTACTGTCATCTCTTTACTGGGGGAATCTGTTACAAGGGATTGCTATGTTAGTCATACTCCCTTGCTCTATCACTACTAAGCTATTGTAAGAGATTGTTCCTGTCTTGCTCTCTAGAGGAGTCTACAGTGGTTATGGTGTCGGCTGGAGTGCTTGGAGCCCTCAGGAAGCACTAGGAGCATCCTTCAATGGAGGTACCCAGTCAGGGTGCCCGTCGATCCGTTACAAAAGGGTCAAGCAGGTCTGTTTAATGAGCACACAAAAGCAACAGCACTCATGCAGCAAAACAACTCCTCCTCAGAGGAAAACAAAATGACAGTTAAGTTCAGTCAGCGTTTGAATATGACAGTTATAAGGTCAGACAGAGTTTGAATGTAACAAGGTATTAAGGGTTTAACTGGTGTTCTAGGAGGGGGGAGAGGGGGGAATATAAAGGGGGTTTTCTTCACAGTTTAAAGCTGCAGGCTGCTACAATATAATTTAAAGGGGCAGACAGAGTACAATAAAATCCAATATGCCCAAATAACGTTTTTAAAGGGCCAGAACAGTTTTTTAAAACAAGTCCAAATGGTGTTTCTAACTGGCAGAATCTCCCAGGGACCATAGTCATATGGCAAGAGGCTGGTAATTAGTCCTCTCCAGGCACAAGTGGCGAAGGGCACTTTGTCACATCGGCCATCTGTGTATTTAGCCCGTGTCCCCTTCAGCAGGTGTTGCTTGAAGTAACGGAGTTCCCTGTACCCCGGCTGGGTACCTCCACCAAAGGACCGCTTCCTAGCTTGAACAGGGGCAAAACCTCAGCACTTCTGTCCCAAAATACACATAAAATACACAAAAACCCCACTAAAGTCACATCCCCTGATAGCCCAGATCTGGGTGACCAACATATCCCAAAATTACCCAGATCGGTTCAGGGGTTCAGGTTGTCCATGGAAGTCCCATTTTTGACCGACCGCGCATGTTGCTTAAGCCAAATATAGTTCCATGAAATCAGTGCTAGCGGTCAACTTCGGTAACATAAAAATTAATAAAATACAGAACGTAGTCTCTATTTGAACCATGGAGCCTGTTCCCCTCATCCAGATGAACTATTCCACTGAACAGTGTTCTTCTAGGATCTACAGAACCAAACACAGGCGATGATGGAAGTCCAGCGGTGTTCGGGAATTTCAGTGTCCGATTTTAGTTCCGTGAACTCGACGACCAAACACCGTTGCCTGCATTCATGCGAACGAGATGGTCGCAACCTCGTGGTCATTCATACGAATTGCAGCCACCCACAATGAACAATTAGAATACTGAGGTGAGAACCGTTCCAAGATGTTAATAGGGGTTAACAAGCTCCCGGGTGGTCCCTGGTTCATGCAGTTCGGTTCCCGAACAGTATACGAAAATGACACGAACCAAGCAATTTAAACTGTCTTTTGCAGGTTTCTCTGCAGGGCCCATAATCTGTGAGCAGGAGGCTGGCAAGCAAGCTCCTCCAGGAGCTTGTGACAAACTCACGTGCGAATGGAGCTTGTGGCTGCTCCCTTCGATTTCCCTTCCGGGTTGTTGCTAACGAAGCACTGTGTGAAACAGTGGTCAGTCAGTCTGGGTACCTGGTCTGCTCTAAAGTGCATCTCATCTGTATAAAAACTACATGCCCCCATAGGCTGTGAAATTGCTGTAAGGCATGCGATCGCTTCTCTGGCTTATTCAAGCATTTTGCGTTTATGGACATTAACTTGATCTCTGCCCTTCCATAGACCTGTGCCATTGTGTTGGGGTATGAGCTTGGGAAAGAAGAAAGGAAAAAGAAGAGAAAAAAGAAAAAAGGAGGGCAGGAGAAAGGAGAGGGGGGAGTAAATATGAGGTTGGGGTCAGGTGCGTCTCCCTATGGTAACTGGGGAGCAGGTTGAGCCACAGAGCCCTCCCGCAGTGGCGGTTACTATTACACCACAACACGAAGAGACCCCTCAAAACTCACCGGCCCTGGCTGCCCTAAAATCCTTGAGCCGCAAGGGTAGGCAGGACTAGGCTGCACTTTGCTCTGTTGTGGTGTGGTAAGCAGCCTGTAATCTCTGGTGGGCTTAGTGCCCAAGTGTTTAGACGTTACTAACCGCGAATCCTGTCATCCCCTCTCCCGCCACAGTGAATCCCTCTACTTCTAGCTCCATCATTGACCAGTGGTCTGTGCTTGTACTTCTCGCCTCCCCCACCCATCTCCTTCCCTGTCACTTGCATTTAATGTCCCCATGAAGTTTGAGATGCCTGCTCCTGCCTTGTAGCATGACTCAGTCATTTCCCTCACCCCTGGCTTCATCACGGTGGGATATACATCACTTTATCAAGTACCCACATCCCATCCTCCCCTCCATGAGAAAAATGTGCATAGAGGCCATTATACCCTGCCCCCACCAGTTGCCCTCCCCCGCCCCCCGCTGGGAGGGGCTTGGGCATCCCTTCCAAAAACCAGACAGAGACAGCCAGGGAGGCAGTGGGGCCGGTTACACCCGCTGCCCCCCACTCTATAGTATTCCTCCCACCCCCTTCCCCCCAATACTATTATGCGATGGTGGTAGTGTCCAAGGTATCAACAGTAATCCCTTCTTAAGCATCATAATGTGGTACCACATTATGCGTTTTACAGTCTCGTGGGTGTGTTGCAAAGTCCCTGTAGTCTGTTAGTCTGTGGTCTCCTTCATATGAAAGGCCACCGGGTGCAATTGCGAGGGGCAGGGTCGACCATGCTCTGGGGCTGTTCCTGGAGCTATTCATGTGGCAAGGTCTGTGGCAGGTGGTTTGTCTAGAAAAGGGGGTCAGAGTATCTCTGGAACCTGGAATGGCAAGTGGGGGCTAGTGTTGCCCCCCTGCGGGCCATATGGATTCCATCCTGGACCTATTCCGACGTTGCGGCAGTACCTCTTCTGGAGGCTTGGGTGCTGGGCGGTAAGCTCATATCAGGCCAGTGGATGTGGATAAGCGATAGTTGGAGGAGGACCGAGATAGCCATCAATTCACGCTGGTGGCGTACTGGCCGGGGCCCCTCTGGAGTGAATATTACAAGCCCCGTTGGGAAGATCCAGTGTTATCTTATTTTTTGTGATACTAGTGTGCGGGTTAGAGGCTTGAGGGCCTTTCTGAATTCCAGCGTTTCTGGGCACAAATCTGGGAATAGTTACAGGTGTTGGCCTTCATGGATGATCTCTTGTAAGCTCCGGGCAGCTTGCAGGATATCTTCTTTGAGGGAAAACTGGGCTAAGCCCAGTGAGGAGGAGTGAGGTGTCGAGGGCTCAGAGAATGTGTAGGACTCAGATGCCGCTTGTGAGGGGCAGGAGCGGGGCAGGAGTGTGGGCGGAGCCTGATCCAGCACCAAGGGACATCGGCGCTAGATGCAGGTAAATGTCTAAAGGGGTTTTAACCCATTCAGCAACATGGGATGGGGGGCAGGAGGGAGGTGGGTACTGTAGGATTCTCTAGTGCCAGGAAAACGGGTTTGTTTGAGACACTCTCATGGGATACACCAACAGACATACACACAGAAATATATACTCACAGACACAAACACAGGTACACACAGTTACTGATGCACATTGCCAGGCACACACCCCAATACATACTACCAGGCAAACATACAATATTAAACACACAATTGCTAAACATACACTGAGAACAGGCAAAAGCT